CTGAAAGAAGAAAAATTTAACAAGAACTTGATATTTCTCAACTATTTTTAAATTTTATTTTTGAAACTGAATTAGGCTTAAAATGGCTAGTTTTATTTCTGAAATGTACTAGAATAGCTACTAGATAGTGGCTTTCCCAAATATGCTAATTTTATTTCTTTTTGATTTGTATTACATTGCTACAAGAATTATTATTTTTCTTTAAAATTAATATTATGTACTATCTGTTATTTAACTTTTGTGATGAAAGAACATCTTATATTATCTTAAAATACTTTAAATTTTTTCCTTTATTCAGTTTCTACAATGTATACTAAATAAATTCTAACAGAGAAGCTGTTAGATAGTCTTCATAGTCACTGACTGCATAAGACTATAATGAATAATAATAATAATAATAATAATAGAAGACTGAGAATAATCTTCATATTAAGAGATAGTCTGATAGAATATTTGATAAAAGCAAAAGAAGATTAAGCACAGTTTTATAACTACAAACAACAAGACAAAATATATATATCTAATAACAAAGTAATGTTGTTATCAAGAAATCTATGCTCTTGTAAAAAATTAGACAACAAGTACTATAGATCTTTCTCAGTAATAAAGATTATAGAAAATAATATATATTAACTAAAGCTCTTTCCAAGCTATCAGATTCATAACATCTTTCATGTCTTATTGCTGGAACTATATTGTATGAAAAAGAGTAAAACATTAATATATTCTTCTGCAGTACTGGTAGATAATTATCATAAGTGAGAAGTAGACAAGATTCTAGATGACAAGATGTACTATTACAAAAAGCATTATCTAGTAAAATGAAAAGAATTTTTTATTAAGAAATTAACATGAGAATCTGAGAAAAATCTAGAAAATGCACAAGAGATTCTTAAAGACTATCTATAAAAGAGATGAAAGATGAATAAATCTACATACAAAAGAAGAAAATATGGCTAAAAGCAAAATCAAAAACCACTACATCTCATAAAATCAAACAACTAGTAACAAGAAGAGATACTACAAAAGTCTCCAAAGTGTGACTGTAATAGTGGCACACCAGCTAATAATGTACAAGGTTCCAGAGTCACAAAAACAGATAATATGATTACAGACAGCACCACAACAGATAGTGCAGCTACAGAAGAAGATACAGCAGTTAAAGAATATTAAGATGAATAAAGTACTTTCATAACACTATAAAAACCAGAAGTAAAAGCATTAGTCAGATCATTAATAGAAGATATAATATTAATCTACACAGAAGTTAGTTTGAGAACAAGTAAAAATAATAAAGTAAATATATAAAACCAGTTTTAATTATATCATAAAGCTTTTTCATTTCACTAGTCAAACATACAGCAAGTTAATTAATAGATACTTGTATATTTCTTACTTTAACTTGAATCTGCAACATTTCAGTTTAAATAAGAGTAAGAAAGTGTGAAGACTCTCAAGCATTTTTATTGCAAACAGCATCAGAAGAAATATTAAGAATTTATCTGATAATAATATTAAACAACAACAATATTTTATAGAAGAATCTATAATTAGAAATAAGATATAATAATATAAAGTATATATTTTTCTGACTGAACTCTTCTGATACTTTATAATATTAAAGTCCAAATCATAGTAATTATATACTAATTTATACATCTCTCTTGTAAGAGTTGCTTAACAAGAATTCATGAGAGCAAGATCTAAGTAATTTTTATAAAGATACAACAACTTTTGAATAAGACTGATTACAGACTCATAAATTTATACTTATATTAGAATAGCAAAGAAAATAAGCCAAAAATCTTATATATTACAGTATTTACAGATAGCATATTTTAAGTAATGCTTACAAGAGTTCTTTTTCATATTTTATATATATAGTGACTTTTTGTTCAGGCAATTAGTAAACATGAAATAAACATACATAAAATATAGAAAGATATCTTTATTTTTACTTAAGACAGGAATCTGAATTATTAATATTATTAAAGCTGTAAGTCAAACATAATTAAAAAAGAACAAGAAAAAGAAGAAGAGAAGAACAAGAGCAAGAAAATCTTTATTTATATTTATACTATAATATACTAAAGTTGCTATTTCTATAACTTGTTAATAAACAAACACAACAACAGATAATAAATAATATAATAATCAGACAAGCAAACAAACAAAGAAATAATAATATGATAAAATACTGGACTTTTATAATAAAACAATCAATATTCTATAATAAAGAATATGAAGAATGTCTACTGCAACTGATAGTAATACACATGTAGAATATCTATATAGTCAAGCAGTAGAGATGCAGAAGTCTGCACATTCAAGAATCTATAATACTTCACCAATGATAGGGAAGCTACAATGATATATGAAAAACCACCTCAGTAGTTCTATACTTCAGAGACTAAGGCATCTGAAGAGGGAAATAGTGTTAGAAACATAGATCTAGACAAAACCAAGCATCAGATCATATTAGATATTCAGAGAACATTATATAATCTATATCTCTGAACATATAAGAATCACACAATACTTACAAATCATGAAAATCTCAGTATTCAGTCTTCTAGTTAGTAAATCTATATGCTCTACACACAACTCTCTTCTATCAGTTGTGAGCATCAGATCTACTTAACTTTTTCATACTCTAATTTTAGAAAACCTACAAAATCTATATCAGGCTTCTCTAATAATAGTAATTAATAGTTTATAATGCTCTGATTGAGTCAGCAATCTTGCTCTAATAACAAAGAGTTTCTATACAAATATGCCAGAGTCAGAGTAAGACTATAGTATCTTTTCAAGAGTAGCAAAATCAGATACAGTTATACAGTATTACAGAACTTCAATAGTATAAAAAGTAATCAAGATATAAAAGTATCTAATTTAAAGATATCTGGTAGATAGATAAGAAGATTAATCACAATAAACAAGTTCATCAGATATCTGATAATAAGCATTCTTATATACATAATACTTCTCTGATAATAGACTTACTAAGCTATCTTATTTATTTTATTACAGTACACTTACTATATTCTTCAATTAATCTTATCATGCTTAGTATAATCAGTCAGCTTATCAGTTTTATTACTGGTTACATGATTCTTATCTTAAAGTTCCTCTACAATAATCTGTAATTTTATCTTGTCAGGTCTTATTCAATTGTTTTTTGTTCTCTGCTGTTGTGCTACAAAATTTATAACATATCAAGAATATTAAGTTAATAAAGCTAATTTAATATTGACACAAAGTGTAAAAAGCAAGAATCAGATAAAAAGAGATAGAAAGAGAAGATAAAAGTAGATAAGATAAAAATTCTAGCTTACTTGGCATATCTTAATAAAATATAAGTAAGTAAGAGTCTTAAGAAAAATTAAAAGAAGAAAGTATTTAGTAAGAGATTTTTCAGATAAAAAAAGTATAATAACATAATAACTAATAAAGAAAATTTAATAATTTGTTTAAAGAATATTATTGAGTTTGTCTCTCAAAATTCAGTTGAAAAGATTTTATAGTTACTGAGTAATAGTGTGAAAAGTGTTACTGATAAGCATAAAGCTGGCATCATTTATTTTCACTTATATCTCAACAACCAGCAGGGCAATTTACTTGAAAATTAGAGAGTCTCTTAGGTAAAAAGTAGCTTTCAAATAAATATTGTTTTGTCTACTTTGAACAAGAATTAACTAGGTTGTGAAAGAAGTGTCTGTGTCAAGTTTGTAGTAAGTTCAGTGTATATGACAAGCACCTACTCCAAACTTATTTTCAAGGGTTTGTCTTAGTGTTTTATTTGTATAGCTATCTAGCTGACAACTGAAGTTCATTTCCTGTTAGGGAACCCAACATAGATTTTGTAAGTATTCTCAGAATTGAGGATACAAAAAAGCTAAGTAGGTCTGATGCTCACAACTTGTGAAAGAGAGTCATGCATAGAATGTAGAAGTTCTCCAAAAGAGTACACAAGGTAAAAGGTCTGGTATTCTGGCAGCTATATACAACTTGTAGACAAGATTGCCACTGGCTCCCAGCAAGAGGTTCACGCAGTGGTGGTCTTTTATGTGTGCTCGCAAGCATGTGACTTAGTGCCTTGTGAGGACACATGCAACTTTCAACAGCTCACAAGCTAAGGCTCTCAGCCCTCGCGGGTGTTGTTCATCTATGTAAGGGGTTTGCAGGCGAATCCTTATGGTAAATCATGCAATTCTTATACATTCAGAGTTGTAGGTCATGTGGATTCTCTTAAACATTTAATGTTATTCAATGCTTGGTTGACCTACATTCACAACATTTTCAGAGCTTCTAACAAAGAGTATTATTAGAGATTGAACCTCTATTTCTCTCAGGCCAAGCGCTTAATCTCATACCATGCTAAAGATCTCCATACTACTTCTCTTTTAGCCTAGTGCCTACTTTCTCTTTTGGCCTAGTGCTACATACAAACATTGTATATATATCATGCTCATACAGAGTACATGTGCTTGTCTATCTTCTTTTCTTTTCTTCTCCAAGTAATACATTCATTTAGCTAGTAACTTCAGCCTAGCCCATGACAAAAATCTTATATTATCTTAAAGTATCTTATTATTTTTTTGTGTTTTCTAAATTATCTTGTTATTATAATATACACTAATTAAAATCTAGTTAACAGAAAAGCTATTAGATTATATAGTCTTTACAGTCACTAATTGCATAAGACTATAATGAATAATAATAATTATAATTATATTTTTCTTCACAGAATTTACTGGCTCATTTACAAGGCTTTTACAAGCAGAAATATATGAAGAGGTCATAATGTAGCTTTTAAACTGTTTAAGGCAAAGAATCAAAGTCAGTTTTGCACTAAAAAACGTTTTAGAGTTTGTTTGGACTTGTTAAATACAGAGGTAAATCTAATATGTTTGTTAGTTTGAATGTACAAAACTTCAAACCTGCAAATTTTGAAAAGCAATTTCTGAAGCTACTATCAATATTAGCTTCTAAGATTGATAATGTCAAACTATTCACAGTTCTATATACCAGCTGTAGCATTTCTGGCTGGTGTAATAGCTACTATTGGCTTGAGGGATATCTATTACTGCTCGTCTAGCCAGCAGAAACAACGTGACACAGACTGCAACCAGAGTAAAACAGCTGGATTTTCCCTCAACCACGGGCCCCCTCCGATTTCCAATGGCATTGAAGGCTGCATTGGTAATACGCCACTTATTCGCATAAAATCTTTGTCTGAGGCAACAGGCTGTGATATATTGGCAAAAGCTGAGGTATGCCAAATGAGGTGGCCCCGGTGACCCTTCCAAGGTCAGTTGTGTCTCAGACCCTTTCATAGTTCCTCAATGGTGCTGGAGGCAGTCCAAAGGACCGCGTGGCTTTAAGTATGATACAAGCGGTAAAGCGAATATCCCTATTCTGTGATTATTTACGGGCTGAAATCATATATTAATGGTTGGGAGAACAGGCCGAAAGACAAGGGCTCTTGATTCCATATTCCGGGTATGCAATTTACGAAGGTACTGTGGGATCTACTGGCATATCTCTAGCAACTTTGGCCAGAGCGAAAGGGTACTTAGCACACATGTACGTGTTCCTCTGCTTCTTGGGCGCCGCATATAAAGTATGCTCATCCCACTTGAAGTTGCATGCCTTCGGATCAATCAGCGGAGAAATCGAACCTGCTCTTGAAACTAGGGGCCGTGGTCGATAAAGTACCCCCGGCCCCAATTGTAGAAGTGGGTCACTTCGTAAACAGGGCCCGATGTCTGTCGAGATCTTATAGCTCAGCCTCCACGCCGTATTCTTTTGACTCCATATCTCGAAAGTCAGAGATCTCCAACTACGAATCGGCGGCATCCATGGCAGCAGACAAGTCCAGCCATGGTTTTTTTGCTGATCAGTTTGAAAATCCCGCAAACTGGCAGGCTCATTTTCAAACAACTGGGCCCGAAATTTTTGAGCAATGCGAGGGGAAGCTGGATGCGTTTGTGTCGGGTGCTGGAACTGGAGGTACAATTTCCGGAGTTGCGCTTTATCTGAAACCTCGACTTCCAGCCATGACTGTCGTTCTTGCAGACCCGCAAGGCAGTGGACTGTTTAATCGGATACAATTTGGGGTGATGTTTGACACTATGGAGAAAGAAGGAACGAGAAGGAGACAACAAGTCGATACAGTAGTTGAAGGGATAGGTATAAATCGGATAACTTCGAATCTCGAAGCGGGGCGGGAGTTAATCGACGATGCCATTAGAGTCACCGATGCACAAGCTATAGCTATGGCAAGATGGTTGGTGGAGAAAGATGGGATTTTTGTGGGGAGCAGCAGCGCTGTGAATTGTACGCCCATTTTCTGTATACCCCAGAGCTTGATTCTAGCAGTGAATATACTAATTCTGGAAGTAATGTAGGCTTTGCGGCAGTCAAAACAGCTATCAAACTGGGCCCTGGCCATAGAATAGCAACAATTTTGTGTGACTCCGGAACCCGGCATCTGTCCAAATTTTGGGAAAGTGCTGGTAATGTGGAAGGTGCCATGAATACCAAGCTCGAGGACGTTTTGACGGCAACTGCTGCTGAGAGTGACACTTAACCTCCCACTAGACCCTCTTGAAATTAGCATTCAATGGAAGCGACAGCAATGTTTTTAGTATCAGTCAGCACGTTGAATTGGCCCTTGAGGAAACAAGCCTCCAAAAATTGCCGGATCACAACGCATGATTACGAGACTCTGCATTCTGTTCCAGTAACAGCTATGTGAGCAATGCATTTGCACTCCCACTTGGGTAATGAGCTGCTTGCGTCACGATGTGTCGACGAGCGGATCAGGGCTTTCAGACTTTATCATATCCGTTGCTGCGCGCGCTGAAGATTTCACCTGGGTATACCGTAATAAATGGACAGGCGACCTCAGGTTATCATCCTCGTCCATTCTCACTTCCTTGGTGATAGCCTGTTCAACAGAAGGATCCCGAAACTTGATAGTCCCAGACTGTCTTTCACCACTCCCTTGATTGCACTTGCCCTGGACCCTATCCACGGACACGTCATAGGGTTGTACGGACTCCAAAGAAAACGGGGAGACTTGTTGAACGGACGGTGGCCGCTCCTTTTCTTGGGAAACCCAGTCACGGATATCCAAAGGCCGAATATTCTTAACTTCGATGCAATGCTTAGAGTACCAGTGCTTAAGTAGCCTGGCACTACGCCACGGCATTGCAGAGAGCACTTCCGGCCATGATCTTCTTTTCACCATCCGTAGATCTAGCAAGTAGTTAATCTCCTCTGCAGTAAGAGGCCCAACTTTTGGTCGCTCTTGCAACAGAGGCCGTTTGGACTCTTCTGACTCTTGATTAAACTCGCTGTCCATTGTAATTACTTTTGAAATAGGATCAAAGGTAGTACGCGCATTGCTCCGGTGCTGCTTAGCGGAAATTTGCTGATTCCCGCACAAAAGCACATTGTAGTGGAATTCAGAACCCTTCTTTTGAGGGAGCTGGGCGCCACCATAGCCCCTGTTTGTTGAGAGACGCATGTGGGTATATTTAGATATGCATGGACGACGAGATACTGTTCTAGCTTTTGAACTATTCTCTTGTAGAGGATCGTCGGAATCCGAATCTGGTCCAGGTTGTGGCGCCAAGAGGGCGCGAGCATTTCTGTCAGCCCAGCCCGTGCGCTGTCTACCCCTTGGAAGCCTTTTCGGGGCTGCCCAGACGGACTCAATCTGTTCTGAGCGTGGTTGTTCGAGCTTTGGGAAACCAGCAGAAAAGGGTTCACCCACTACAGCGGGGGCTAACGCGGTTGGACTCCGACTTCCCGTCAAGATACAATAACCCTCATATTCTCCAGGATTTGAGTCAGCCGAGACTTTCAGAATACTCCCATCTAGCAGTTGATCTGGTCCTTGATCGGCGTTAGCCAAAGCGGGCTGAGAATGTCGACAGCGGCGACCAAGTTCGGGCAGGTGCATCTTCATCGGTTGGCGAGATTTAGTCGGTTGTAAGCTGGTAATCGTCTCGGTGAAACGGGTAACAGGTTCAGTAATATCTTTCTCACGATGTGTCTTTCCATGGGGATGAAGATTATTCGAAAAGCACCCGCCAATATCTTGCTCATTTTCCATTTGATTAAGATGTCCATTATCAACCACAATTTGTCCCGTCCGAAGATTAATTTCATCGCCAATATTACCGAAATCTCTACCATACTTCTGATATATCAATTCCAAGCGTGACTTGAGGCGTAAGTTGTTCGCTCGTCGCGCCTCATGGATATTGACGCCCCGAGAAGATGGGCTAATTGCTTTGCTCTGACCAACAGTAGGACATGTGGTCGGCGGACTCATATCTATACAGGATGATAGAAGATAGAGAAGGTTAAATGGTAGATGGGAGCTTAACAAAAAAGTCCCCAAAATAAGAAAGAGGAAAGTCGCCACTTAGTACCGAGTAAAGGGGTACTCTGTACGGAGGTGCCCAGAAGTCTTTACTCACGCTAGTAATTATAGCTGTATCAAAAGTACAATACCCCCCAACCAAATTACTACAGACCTACTTGTACCTTTCTGATTTCAAAACAATCACCACCTTGAATCTCATCTCAATTATAATTTCCAATGCCTGAAAATAATCGGTTTCATCCAATTGCTATTCGCATCCAAGCTCTTTAGTCTCTTGAGGAATACCAGTTAACAAAGTCTCTACTGCTCTAGGAATTCCTGCTAGAACCCTCCATGTGATTGAAAAACGAACCAAAGACCGCGGCTATAAGCCTCAAGAGAACCAACAAATTGATATTTCATTTGTTAAAGATGCAAAGTGATCAGGACGCCCTAAAGAGATAGATTCCAGTAAAGAATCTGATCTCAAAACGGCAGGATCTAGGAAGGGATTGCTTAGCTAGTAGATTAGAAGCTGCAGAGACTCTAGCAGCTTTACATCTTGGAGATATGAATACTTGGGAGGATGTACTCCGTACAAGAGGAGGAATGAATCCATGATCAAAGGTACAGGCTGATCCATACTAATTTGGTGGGGTTCAATGTATTTCTGGTACTAGCCTAATTACTAGCGCGGCAAAGACTTCTCGTACGCGCCTCTATGAATACGGAGGTGCGTCCCAGAAGTCTTTGCCGCGCTAGTAATTAGTTAACTAACATTTCCCACCCACCCAACTTTTACCACCCAATGACTGCAATTTCAAAATCCAACCCTTAGCCTTCCAATCATGATAAAATGGTCAATGAAGCTGCAATTGAGCAACCAATACGGAGTAAAGAATTTAGAATCTCAAAGAAGCTCCAAATTATAGATATACAGCTTTAAAATATAGAGTCAATAAAACTGTAAGGATTCACCTACAAACCCCTTACACTGATGAACAACATTTGCAAGGGCTGGGAGTCACTCACAAGATGTTGGGAGTGAATGTGTACTTTGTGAGATACTAAGTTATATACTCCGTAGAAGAGAAGAAATAAATCCATAATCAAAGATACACGCTGATTTATACTAATTTGGTAGAATTCAATGTATTTCTGGTACAGAAGTAATTACGAGCATGGCAAAGACTAACACACTTCTGCAAAGTAGTAGTAATAAGTAAATCATGTTGATTTTACTTTTATGCATATAGTGTTAGAAATTCAAGATCAAGCCTAATGGTAGGTAATTAAGCTTGAAATCTCATTCCAGTACCAATAATCAATCTAAACAAACTTGAAGAACACTTGGCTACCAGGAACTTGAGAATCATTGAAGATCTAGCCACTAACACTAGATTCAACACACCATTCTATCACTGCTTCTAATAAGATTGTCATGACCTGTAACCACTGCTAAACAAATGAACCTCCTAGAGTTACCAATTGTGTGCTTCAACACTTTGATTAAAAAGTGAACTCCTTCCGGAAAACTTCCACATCCATGCCATTGACTACCATGTCACTAAGGTCTCTTCGACCCATTTGATTAAAAACTCGTCTCAGAGTATCATATAGGTTTGTACTCTGATTGTGCGTACTATGGGAGTCCGCGATTTCATCTTCAGAGAATGGGAAAGACTCCCCGCGGTCAACCGCTTGATGCATGGCCAATGCCCCCAGGAGGTGTTGAGCAGCCTCAGGGTAACATCCAATATTAATACAAGAGACACCAAGATTATACCTTGCGCGGACAAAATTTGGACGGATAGTAAGGGCTTTTTCATACGCCTCGATAGCCTCCTCTGATCTGCCAGAATTCGCCAGGGTTGCCCCAAGACGATTCCATAAAAGGTGCAGTTGTTCCTGTTGATTTGATGTACCCGACTCGTTGGATGCTAAAGCCGCAGAAAAGCAATCGACGGCTTTATCGTATTCTTCGGCGCCATAGAACAGAACACCAAGGCCAACCTGAACGTCGGGGTCCATATGTTCCCCTTGCGGAGAGAGCTGGGCTGCCCGAATAAAAAGATCTGTGACTTTTTCTTGAAGCAAGTGTCGATCAGTGAAGCCCATTTCGGTGTCCGGGGTAATATCTTTCGGATTGATGATTTGAGGGTATTTCACGGAAAGCCATATTTCAAGCGTCCTGTACGCTGTAGAGTCGTACCCCTCATTCGTATATGAAACAGCAAGGCCCATACGAGCATCTAGATTACTAGGATCTAGTTTTAAAGCTTGTTCATATGCACGTATGGCCGGGCTCTCTTTCTCATTTTGCGCCTGGGCGGAGCCTAACATGGTCCATGCTTCGACGTGTTTAGGATCTTTCTGCACAGCAGCCTCGAATGCGAGGACAGCGAGAGAGAGGTTATCACCTTCTCTCATCATTCGAATCCCTTCTTCGAAAGGGTTTGGGATCAGCCGGTAACTGTTTTCCTCCTCGAAAAGGTAGTCACCGAGCTGCGGGTCCCTAAAGCTGTGCGTATTGAGGCTGCCGTCAAAATTATCCCATTCGCCGAATTCGCCTAGATGCATGTTCTCAAAATTGACTTCTTCATTGACCATTCGCCTGCGCTCTGCAGTCTCAGCTTGAATCCCGTTCCAAATACTTTCAAAATGACCAAATTCGTCCGTTTCAGCGGGAACTGACCTGTCCAAATCATCAAGCTCAGCTTCCATTGCGGCGGTTGCTTCTTCGTCCAGAGCTTTTTCTCCTGCAGCATCTATTTCTGCAAACTGGGCTTCCCAGTTCTTATCATCAAGTTCTACCATCCTCCCTTTACCCTTGTCCTCTTGCGCTGAGGATTGTTGGTGAATCGCCATATGCCCATATGATGAGCCCATCATAGGCATATAGTTACCTCCAACGCCTCGGTATCCCATTCCCCTTTGCGGATGATACGATGACAGCACTGCGGGAGTTGATGTGACGGGGCTTGCGGTTCTTTGCGGACTACTCTGGTGCGAAAAATGTGCAAACTCTTTGGCAGAGAATCCAATTCCTTGCATCAACTGTGATTTTGGACCCGGAAAAGCGGGGTCCATTCTTGCGTTCTTGACTGTGTCAAATTCCGCAGCCCAACCTGAGGATCCAGTCCTCGGAGGACCAGCTTGGAAATTCTCAAGTTCCAGTCGCATCTGTTCCATGGAAAACGGGTGTGTCGCAGCCGGAGGAATCTGATCTTCTTGTTGCAAAAACTCATCCATCATCTAAAATAGCAGTAGCATTGAATGTTAGTTTCCCAGCTTGCATTACAGGCAGCGAGAAGCACGAACTTGGTCTTGGCCAACCATGATACTTTGTGAGCGCATGCCTTCTTGGAGTCCGCCCAGGCTTCTACCAACAAGTCGATCTCTTTGAAGGGAAGTATCATTTTGAACATGTTTTGTAAACTGTGTCAGCGGGTTGCCGGCAGCTGAGCACCCCGCGCCACCAAGAAAGGACATTCTATCGATATGGGGATATAAGGGAGAAAATAGTGAAAAAAATAAATAACCACAATGTTCCACAAATGACAACCTGTTGTGATGATATACAAGTAAGAGTCAGTTTTGCTTTTCACATCAGTTTCTAATCAAACTTAGAAGGAACCAAATGAGAATGGGGGTGTTTTGATACCTCGGATGTTGTTGATTGCAACCACATCCACAAGCTCGGTAGACATTTAAAGTTAGTGAGTTAGCTTAGTAAGCTCCTCCAGGCCTTTGCCCAGCCAAGAACAAGAGGCCAGCTTTGGCTGGTGACAACCAGAATCATTCGTTACTAGCGCGCAAAGACTTCTCGGCCAGAAATAAATTTTAGCGGGATGGATTCTTCAGGCTGCTGTATAGGAGTGGCCTGGAATCCCAATACTCCGTACTCCGTACCTCCGTAGACCTTATGAAATTTTGACCAGACTTTCAGAGGAATCCCCTTTTCCAGCAACTCTTTCTCCCAGTTCCTTTTTGCTTGTTCTACCTTCGTTATTAGACACATTCATTTGAAATGTATTAATCTTCAATGTTGGCCTGTGGCATCTATGATATTGAGTTTTAAAAAGGCTCTGTCTGCTGAACTATTAAGAAAAAATGAACCCCTGGAAAAGGATGACCAGTGAGCTACTTTTGCCATGATATTAACTGTGATGTCGACAGAATCAGCTTATTGTATATTAAACTGCAGGGTTTCCAGACTCTTTGTCGGACGAAATATTATCACCCTTAAAAACATATAAATACTCCAGCATTGATAAATCGTTCATATCTCGATATATCTTGAAGCACTATGTTATTCTCCTATCCCAAAGCCTACATCTCCTCTAGCTAATGGGATTGATTGCTAGTGGAATGCTTTTGTTGAGTTGCTTCCCCTATGGCTCGCGCCAAATATGGTTACACTGATTGGGTTTATGTTCATTATTGGAAACCTGCTTGTGCTTGAAGTCTTTGTACCAGACTTGGTTGGGCCAGTGTGTTCTCCATATTCTTATCCTCATCTAATAATTCTCACACCACAATATCTGCTGCTAAGTTGTCACTTGTTATGATAGGCACCACCGTGGGTTTACTACAGTTTTGCGCTTGGGCTTTGGATGTGAGCTGCACTTAAACCCCATTTGCAATTTAGAGCTCCATTTAATTGCTTTTAGGTACTCCACAATGGACAATGTGGACGGCAAGCAGGCAAGGAGGACCGGTACCTCTAGTGGGCTTGGTGAACTCTTTGAGTATGTGTTAGTCACTCTTTGTTTAGGAATGAGACACTAATACATAAATGTCCCAGCCATGGAATTGATTCGTTAAACTGCACACTAGCTAGCCTCCTGGAGGCCGCAGCCATGGGTCAAGGGTCGTCAAAGATCGGTGCATTTACTACACTAATTCCTTGCTTGCCCATGTTCTTCTCAACGTGGGAGACATATCATACTCATACATTATATTTGGGTTATTTCAATGGTCCAACCGAAGGCTTGATTATTGCCACCCTGGTTATGATCGCGGCAGGTTATTATGGCCCCGAAATTTATTCTAGTTCCTTATCTGAATGCTTTGGCCATCGAGAAGTTTTGGCCGACTATAGTTTCTTGGATCTCTGGGTGGTCGTCCTCTTGGGGTCTTTTTTGATTGCACACCTTCCCGCATGCATCCTCAATGTTATTCGGTCTCGGAAACGCAGAAACCTCCCTATTTTGCCCGTGTTCCTGGAATGGACCCCAATCGTTGTTTCCTCAATCTCGACCATTGCCTGGCTCTATTCGCCACACTCGACCCTCCTAAGAGAAAACCATCTTGTGCTCTTCGCGGTTACCATATCTTTTGTTTTCGGCCGTATGACGACAAAAATAATACTGGCTCATTTAACCCGTCAATCGTTCCCATTTTGGACTATGCTCATGGCTCCTTTGTTAGGAGGCGCTTTTCTGGGGAATTTACCGAGGTTTGGCTTGCCTATGGTAAACAAAGATTTTGAGGCTTGGTACTTGCGTGCCTACTTGGTCATCGCCTTCGTGACATATATGCACTGGGCTTTCTTTGTTATTCATCGAATCACGACTTTCTTGGATATCAATTGCCTGACAATCAGAAAAGATTCGCTAGCAGCATCTAAAGGGTTATACCAACAGATCAGCGAAGGGACCCGAGATATTTTGGACAGTCAATTTGACCTAGAAAGTGGCAGACTGAAGAATCACTAAGTCGACACTTATTGAGCATTATGCGCATAAAAGTGTACCTTGGTTACGGGCCTTTTCAGTACCATTATTTAGTCATGAAGTTTGGTCAATCCCTTTACAAGAGTCAAGGGTCTTTGTCCATGCTCTACTCCATCCATTTATATTGGGGTAGTCCAGACGTGTATGAAGTTGATACGGTAGTTTAGACTTTGTGCCTTAATCAATATATACGGAAACCTGATATTAGAACACAGTATGGTTTTAATACTCCTCAATTTTTATGAACTTAACAGGGGAATATTTACAATTCGGTTCCCAACCTTTAGTTTGACTGTTGTGAAGGGAATCCTGATCTGGAGTAATTGCGTTAAGGATGAATGTTCGAGCATTCCCATGGCCTCAGACGGTGGTTGAAGAAGACTCCATGCAATGGAGATATGAAAACAACCTGGATGCTCTCCTACCACACGGGGAACATTTATATCCCTGCCTTGATTTCTATTTGTGGCCTGATGACAGGTTTCATACAGGGATGATTGATGAAAAATCGAAAGGGATTTATTCGAGATCTGTAGCAAGCAACGCAGAGCATCAGATGGTGAACAGCCAACACGCAAGACAAGAAACCATCGTGTCCTCTCGAAGTTGGGCTCCCAGCCCACCCCATCAATATGAACATAAAAACTGGGTGATACATAGTCAGCAACCTCTGAACAAATCAACAACAATGCCATTGGTAAATGTGCACATACGCCTCGATTCCAGAACCATGAATTTCATCTCTAAGAATGTGACTGAACACTGGATGCTCTTCACTTTTCAATGCCACAGGATGTGATAAACTAACATGGAGTGGTAGCCGCACACCAAGATTGTTGCATAGTAGGCTATGGATTTCAATTTGGCCTCGGAGCTGAACTTGATATTGAGAAATTATTGTAGAAAGAACGGCTAACTCTGTGGTTGGTGGATACCCTACTCTGCGGTTAAAATCAAAAAGCTATGGAAATTGGAAAGGACCAACTAACATTCTAAGTAGATATGGGTCGGCCAGCTACCAACACTGTGTGGGGTTGTACGCTGTCTTCCCTCATGAATGTCGGGGTCATCCTCAATGCTTGCTCGGGTTGAAGCAGAATACAGATGATGCAACTCTGCAGGGAATGATGGTAAAGGTGAGGAGACAATAGAAACATTCTTGTTTGATGACCCTAGAGAATGCAAAAGGGTCCTAGTCTCAGGGTATATTGCTGACACTGTTGAGTCACTTTCGGAATCTGGATCAGAATATTCCACAAAGATCTCCATGAGAGTGTAGTAGTATTTTCCTTCAACACTAGGTCCTGGTAGTTTTACACATCATCTGCTAGAATTTTCAGGTTAACAAGCCGGCACGAGCAATACAAGCCAGTAGGTTGACTTATAGTAACAATCTGGGATCAAGCAAAAATGTTAACATATTCCACAACCAAGCGGGACAACCAAGTGAGTTGGGACACCAAAATACACATACAAATCTCAACTTTTTGCTCTCTTATATCTTAACAAGTCTATGTCTGATCATTATAAAATGAAGAAGATACTATACAGATATAATAAACTTTGTAAATTATAAGAATTATTTAAATATAATAATTATTTCTTAAGTTATAGTATTTTATTATCTTTTTACTAGCATGTATCAAAGTATCTTCACAAATAATAGAGTTAAATAAATCAAATTGATAATACTGTTTATTAAGTGTCTATATACTCTACATCTAAACTCTAAAGTCTATATTCAACAATATTATTAAGATATAAGAAAGCAAAAAGTTGAGATTTGTATGTGTATTTTGGTGTCCTGCTCACTTGGTTGTCCTACTTGGTTGTGGAATACATTAGTTATTGATTGATTGCTTGATTGATTATGTCATCCACCATCCCAGCTGCTTTGTAAGCAGCTATGCAGGTGTGATCTCATGTGATCACCAGCTCAGTCACATGCTCTAAATACAGACCCATACCAGAAAAATGAGCTTTTTGAGCAACTATCAGAAAACATTTATCTGATATGACCTGTTAAACTATAGATCACAAGCTTGAAACCATAGATCAACTATATATTTACAATGCACATATAAAGAATCTGAAACATATAGAATTTGAAATATATGATGAATCCATTGAAGATTTTGAATCTGATTCAAAAGCTTTTCAATTACTAGAAACTAATTAAGTGTTTATACAACACCTGCACAACCTGTATTGTAATAATTTTTTTTTTTAAATTGCAGAAGCCTTCTCACTGGTTAAAGTCTCTGGTTTAAGAACAGAATGTAAAACTAGTGCAGAAAAATTATCAGAGTGAGCTCATTCAGATTGCTTGATTATAGTTTTGAGCAAATTAGCTTTACTGCCTTTAGTTAAAGACAGACCTAATGCAGATATGTTCAAATATGACTGAATAAAGAGCAAATATATGATTAGAGTGAAGAAAAGAAGAGAAGAGGCAGATGCAGCAGAGAGCAGAGCAGCAGTAAATTAATCTATCTTAATTACTAATTTGCAGATAATTTCTTCTATCTTTTACTTTTTCTGTTATTTAATATTAAAGTTAGTTCAATTTATTCTGATATTACATCAAGTATATTAACTGCAGAAGATAAATAATTAAACTTTAAGTTCTGGTAAATATTGGTTAAAATTCTTTTAATATTCTATATATATAACTATATTAGTATAAGTTAAATGTATAATCTTTAATCAGTTTAATCTATCTTAACAGAATAGAATATGTGCTCTGTAAGCTCTTTTTATTTAACTTGAATAAACATGAGTTTTTTTAATACTATTAAAGTGACAGCACCAGCTTCAGACTTGAAGTAAGAAAAAAGAAAGAGATTTGTTAGTTTGAACTGACAGAAGTATTATTTTGACAAGTAATTCACTAAGACTAGTAATCTGTTCTGCTAGACTGGTTTCAATTCTTTTTAGAGTATTGTGTTTTTAAGTTTGAAAAAATTATTATAATCAGATAATAATGCTGTCACTTTCTTCTATAGCTTTAAAAAAAACAGAAGTACAGACTTTTTTATCTTCTATATAATTAGTGCAAATCTTTGTAGTTTCTTGCTTATAAAAATAAGACTTGTTAATGTGTACTATATATATATATTATAAACAGCAATTACAAAATATTTTATTTATAGCAGACTCTTCTTTAATAGCTGAGAGCTTTCACTATAACTTCTTCTTTATAAATATTGAAAAGTACTTGTTCTGAGCTGCTGTTAATTTATGTATTTGTGAAGTTATTTTTTGTTATTTCTACATATATTATTTTTTAGTTTGCTGCAGTTTCTTATTTTATTCTGAAATCTACTACTTATCTTAATATTAGAATAAAAAGAAAAATATAATAAGAAATATAATAAGCTTAAGAAACAAAAAGAAAGAAAATAAGAGAAGAAGAGAGAAATTTTGTGTGAGAAGAGATTATTATATCTAATATATCTGCTTGATTTATTAGATTTTCTAATTAAAAATGTATTTATTTATATACTACTAAGTACTAACTTATTTTGCTTAGAGCTTCTATAACTGATTACATCAAATAATAAAGAGATATATATTGAATATAGTGAAATTTGGTGCGTGCAAGCATTGATATAACAGAGTATTGCATTAAAGTCTAGATATTAAACTCTGAAATCTATTTTAAAGCACAAATTAATAATTAATTTTGATCTAAGAAGACATCTTTTTATGTATTTAACTAGAATCTGTATTTTTTTGGCGGCTTGCAACTAGTTGTAGCTAGTGTTTTCTCTTTAAACAGACAAACTAATTTATTACAGTCTTAAAATAATTCTCTATAATATTCTGCAAAGAAGTTTAATTTTTCTTATCTGAATTATTATTCTCTGGCTTCTGCAGAGCTTATACTGCCTAAGCTGAATGTAAATTAAGTTTTCTGAATAGTATTCTAGATATCAACTGAACTCTATCTAGAATTTCTGATAAAGTCTTAACTTAAATAATCTTTAACTTTCTTAATTAGATATTCTGTTGAATAAAGTTGTCAGAATTAATATATCTTAGTTCTAATTTCTGTATTAAGCAGTCTCAGAGCTTGAGTACAGAATTTCAGATATAGATTAATAAAGTAAATGTGCTCTATTTTAAATTATTATCATCAAGATATAGCTTTATATATGCTACTAAATTTGTACATACCTCTATTGTTATAACTATCAGAGCAGAAATCATGACAATTAAGATTTATTATTAACTTATATTCAAAATAGTATTTCTCTTATAGAGCTGACTTTTCAAAATTAACACACAGCTTAATTCAGTAAAAAACTTTACAGAATTAGTTTCACTTGAATAATTAAGCAAAATAGCTGATCAGCTTTTATTGATTAGTTATTTTATAAAGTCTGAAATTAAAATTCTTAGTCAAGCTGAGTTCAATATATTCTCTGACATAATTCTGTAAATAAGATTAGTTTATATTATAACTAAAAGTTTAAAGATGTTATTTTAATCTTTAAGTTATTCAAGATCTTACATTTTCAATCTTTACAGAGATTTAATATGTGCCTGAAAATTTCATAAAAATATAAGTTATTTCTGACTTTTCAGTTCTCAAGACTTAACATCTTCTAAACAATATCTGGAATCAGATTAGTATTTAATATTAATATATAGACTTATTACATCTGATTTTATATCTTGTACTTTACTACTTGAACCTGTCTTTTAATCTTTATATAATCAGAAAATGCTTTGATTTTGGTCTTGTATTTGAACTGAATAATACATGTTAAGTTTTTGAAGTACTGTATAATTAAGATTATAGAAAGATGTGAGCTGTCTTTTTTAGTGCTAGCATGCTCTGTATGTCTGATATTTTGGCTATCAGATTACTGTAATTCAGAGTGAACTGAAAATGAATAAAAGTAAATGCTTGAATTTTGAAAAAGTTTACTATCTATTATATAGTTAGTTAACTTGAAGTGCATTTAACTGCTTAAGTTACTATTTAAATCTGTATTCATATTCTCCTGCATTTTAAAATTCAATACCACTAAGTAATTGATTTCTTTGAAATAAGCTGATTACTCAGAAGAATGCAGATTATTGCTGATCTTGTATCTCTTAGAGTTAACTACAGGTCTAGATGATTAGAATATTACAGTTAGTCTGTAGCACACTTAATATATTTTATGGCTGCTCTAATATTTAACTTTGCTATAATATATCTGATTCCTCAATTGAACAGTAATTTTCTTTTTAATTTCTATATACTTTATCTTAAAGAAATTCTGTAGCAATTTTCACTGTTTCTGTAACTTAAAACTTAACTACTACAGAAACTGATCTATAAATCTTAAGCAAATATATAATATTTAAGATACTTAAGATGCATACAGAACTATATATTTTGAAGAAGATAACTTTATTTATTATTCTCAGTCTTACAGTTTTAAAGATACAAATAGCTTGCTTATTTATTATGAGAATTACAAGATTGTAATTATATTTTATCTTTAGTAAAATCTCATATTCAGCTGAAGAATCAAACTGAGAAGTTAAAGTTGAATGAGTTTTCTGTTAGTATGTATTATTTTAATTACTGTGGACAGAATACAGTAAGTCTTTCAGATATTTCTAATACTCTGTCTGATACTCTATCTGACGCTTATTCTAAACCAGAAGATATCAAAGTGCAGAAGATTATACAAGAAGCAGTAGCAGCTCTATCTATAGAATCAGTTAATAATAATAAATCACAACAGTATAAAAAGTCTGAATCTGAACTCTGATTACAGATTATGTCATATTCAGTGCATCTGATTAACAATGAAGATTCTGATTTTCATTTACAACTAGAGAATTTATTGAGTGATTAGCTAGCTGAGATCTACATTCTGACTATAATAAATAACTTGTTGAAGATTTTAGTTCATGCATATGCAGAGTCTAATAAAATACTGAACCACTTATTATTATTATTATTATTATTATTATTATTATTCATTATAGTCTTATGCAGTCAGTAACTATAAAGACTACCTAACAGCTTTTCTGTTAGAATTTACTTAGTATACATTGTAGAAACTGAAAAAAGAAAAAAAACTCAAAGTATTTTAAGATAATATAAGATGTTCTTTCATCACAAAAGTTAAATAACAGATAGTACATAATATTAATTTCAAAGAAAAATAAAATTTCTTGTAGCAATGTGATACAAATCAAAAAGAAATAAAATTAGCATATTTGGGAAAGCCACTATCTAGTAGCTATTCTAGTACATTTCAGAAATAAAACTAGCCATTTTAAGCCTAATTCAGTTTCAAAAATAAAATTTAAAGATAGTTGAGAAATATCAAGTTCTTGTTAAATTTTTCTTCTTTCAGTATAATAAGCTAAGCAGTCTAATAGTAGATACTTTGAATTTTCAACATAATTGTAGAAATAGCATAAATTAAAAGAGTAGTCAGATAATCTTATTAGATAAGATCTAAAATATTTATAATCAAGCTTTAATTAAATAGTTGACTTATATCTTCTTAGATATAGAAAGAGTATCTATCATCTGAGTTTTATTTTGAATTAAAAGTAGTAATTTGTACAACTTTTTTTATTA